GTTTAATTTTAAGCTTCCTTATCTGACTTAAAAATGAAAGGAATAGTTTGCATTTGTGTAACACCTTTTACGACATCAGAACATTGAAAATTGCCTCACGGACAAAGTTAATTCCACAAAACAGTTGGTTAATTGACATAGGTTTAATATTGGATTGTTTTAAAAAGGGGGAAAAAATTAACCTGAAAACCTAAGGTACTGGATTTTAACGATGAAAAAATGGATACAATAGCTGGCAGCTTAAGGATTGGAGAGAGAGATGAACTATAATCATTGAATGGAAATTTTGGAAGGAAAGTTGGATACAAAGTACCTTTGTGCAAAGAAGACAATGTCAAACATTCTAAGTAATGGAAAATGTGAGTGATACAGCATTATGGCTAGGCTGAAATCTGGCTGAGTTTATACTTTATGTACAATCCTGCCAATGATTAGGCCAAAGTCATGCCTGTGTTATTTGTCCTGTCTGACAATACTTTGTTTTAAATGAATTGGCAAAAGCACCAGAGAGGAAAATGAGAATATATTTTTACACAGCAAGTTATTCCAGACTGAAAGAATGAAGAAAGCAGATTCACTTACGACAAACAACCAGGAGATTTAATGTTGATAAAGCACAATTTGTGACTTTATGGGGAAAGACCAAGGACAGATGGCACTTGATTGGCATACATCCACAGTCTTCAAAATTCACTCCCCTTACCACTAATATACAGTGGGATCCATCTTCACCATCTACAAGATGCATTGCAGTAGCTCACCAAGTCTCCTCCATCAGCACCTTCCAAATTCATGGCCTCTGCCATCTAGAAGGATTAGGGCTGAAGATGCATGGCAACACCACCACCTGCAAGTTTCCCTCCAAGCCACTCTTCATCTTGAATGGAATTATATTGGCATTCCTTCTCTGTCACTATGTCAAAGGCCTGGAACTCCCTCCCTAATAGCTGTCCTTATCCACCAAGTGCTTCAGTAAGACAGCTCACAACCATGTCATCCAGGCCAGTTAGAGATGGACAATAAATGTTGACCTGGTCAGCCATCCTCACTTCCCATGAACAATTTTTTTTAAAAATCCAATTAATTGGATAACTGTATTAAAGATCCTGCGAAGGTATAATGACTTTCTGTGCTCTAGCGTGCATGAATCTAAGTAGTTGATATATTCTCAGGAAAACTGATATTATTTAACTGGATGAGTGTAAGCATTGTGTAAATATGAATATAAAAGGACAAACCTAGAGAAGGAGAAAATAAGAATTTGGAGTTAGCGTAGGTTTAAGGTTAGGATTCTCTATCTTCGAATACCTTCTACCTTAGCTGTACTGTCCTGTCCCCATCCTTATATCCTAATCCTCTTATTGCCAACAACCTCAATCTTTAATAACACAGCAATCACAGCCCTCTGGATTAAAGAAAAATGAGAAAATCAAATGCAGAATTTGGTAGTGTCCTTGGATGATGTGTGAGATAAGTAAGAGGAGATGAAAAACTGTAAACTGTGGTAATTAAAATCACCCAATTCAGTCATTGTCTGTTGTGTACCCATGCAGGAACAGAAAACCTACTTCTGCAAACTGTCAGCACGCAAGTTTGAGTAGAGTTCATAGACACAGACTATAGAGTAGAAAGTCTACTAGTATTCATAGCTCAGTCCGTCATGGAAACCAGTCTGCCATCCATTAACTCCATCTACACTTCCCACTGCCTCAGGAAAGCAGCCAACATAATCAAGGACCCCTCCCACACTGGTTGTACTCTCTTCCACCATCTTCCATCTGGCAGAAGATTACAAAGTTTGAAAACATGTACCAACAGATTTATCAATCTCTGGGTCACAAATCAGGGTGAGCCGGGGTGGGGAGCGGGGAAGCTGAAGAGATTGTGGGTTGGGAAGACAGTGTTGATGAAATTCAAGGTTGAGAGGGAAACTCAATGGAGAAGAGGTTTGCAATGGTGTTAAAGAGATTGTGGCTCAGGAGGGGGAGTGACTATTGAGAAGGAAATCATGTGGGAGATCCATAAGATCAGGAGTTGGGGTGATTGACTGTGGGGAGGGAGATGATAAGGAGGATTGAGTACTGGGGTCAGGAACAACCGATGGGCAGGACAGAAATCATGGAAGGAGGAATGTAGTAATCATATTCAGTAGGGAAGATAATGGGGATGCAGCTGGTGGAGGAGTTTGGGGAGAATTAACACAATGAGGGATGTATTGAAGTGATTGCATCAGATTGTAGAAAGGACTGATCTTGGGGATGGAAGCTGGTTAATATGAAATGTTGGGGTAAGCAGTTCCAAAGAGACAACTGGATCCATCTTCTCTCATTTTCCTTTAGCTGTTATTGCTTTTCTGACTCCTGTGAATACCACACCTTTTACAATCATAGAATGTCCCAAACTGTTTTTCAGCCAATGAGGCAATTCTAAAATGTTATTGGAATGTATTGCATACAGCTGATTTTGTGCAAACCATAGTGCTATTTCACCTGTCCATTTCTGTCCTCTTGAAGTCCATAATTGTTTTCTTCAGTATATACTATAATTACAAGTTTTTTTGACATCTATAAATTTCAAAATTTCCACCTCTACCACTTCCCTCAATCTCCCCACTCCTGACTTTCAACTTTTCACATTCTCAATCCCAAATCTCTGCCATTCCTGACCCATCCCGTCTTTGCCACTCCCGTTCCCTAATCCTCCAATCTTCAGTTTCCAGTCAACTCCACCCTTCCCAATTCTTGGGCCCCCAATTTCAAGGTTTCATTGGTGGTCCCAACTGAATCTAATTCCTGAGTACAGCTCCCTGTCCTGGATATTACAATCTAGAGACAAGTTACAGCAAGCTGGAGATCTCTCCTTTCAGTTAGAACAAGATGCTTCGTTCTCATTATTAATAATATCGTTGTATGATTTTACACAAATAAGCACAAATAAGCAGGATACATCTTCCCGGTCAATGTATCAGTGTACTGTTCAACAACGTTATCTATTTTCAGTGAGGGATGCCCCTTTCCACACTGTGATGTTCTAACACACAACACATTCAGCTGTGACAAGATAACAGTGCTATTAGTATATGGCAATAAAACAGATAACTCGCTAATGTGTCTGGCAGAGATCCATGGAAAGCAGTAAAAGAAGATACTTTAATTGAAAGAAGACATGATAAACAAATAAAATGATCGTAAACACACTCAGAAGCATTGTTTAATTTAATGTAACCCTTGTAAAATCTGAGCTGCAGTTCATCTTGAAAATTATAGTGTGGTTTAAAACATTGCAACATCATTGAAGAGACTGCACAGCAAACTAATGAATGTGGAAGATGTCTAATTATTGTGCAATATTAGTGCATTCATTTCCCTCACCTTTTGAGCAGAAACATTGAAAGAAACGTGTTTAATGGCTCTATGATATAACAAACAAAAACATGTTAAACAATGCCTTGTCAGTTCTTCAACTTCACACCATTCCCATGGTGTGGGAGATATCATGAACCCAACAGCTTTAATAAGCTCGGTCAGAAATTCAAAATCACTGGACCTGAAACATTAACTCTGATCTGTCCTGGACCACCCACGTAGATGTAACAGTCAAGAAGGCACAACACCTCTTCTTCCTCAGGATCCTAAGGAAATTCAGCATGTCCATAATGAGCCTCACCAACTTTTACAGATGCACCGTAGAAAGCATTCTATCTGGATGCATCACAACTTGGTATGGCAACTAGTCTGGCCAGGACCATATGAAACTACACAATGTTGTGAACACAGCCCAGATCTTCGTGCAAGCCAACCTTCCATCCAATGACTCCATCTACACTTCTTGTTGCCATGGAAAGGCAGCAAACGTTATCAAACACCCCTTCAACCCTGGTTATAATCTCTATCAACCTCTTCTGCCAGACAACAGATACTTAAGCTTAAACACATGCACCAACAGGTTCAAGAACAACTTCTTCCCCATTGTGATTAGACTTCTGAATAGACATCTCAAATTTCAAATCTAATGTTGATTTTGCTTTTTGTGCATCTTCTTTGCACCCGTAACTTTGTAATCCTCCTTCTGTGCCATCTTTGGTTTAAAATGTTTCTATGATCTTTGTATGCTATGATCTGCCTGTGCTGCATGCAAAACAAAACTTTTCTCTGTAATTAGGTACATGTGATAATAATAAATCAAACCAAATCAAATCAAATTTCTCTCCACTGATGCTGTCAGATATGCTGAGCTTTCCCAGCAATTTCTGTTTTTGTTTCTGATCTCCAGCTCTGCAGATCTTTCGATTTTTATTAACAGTATGAGTTTCAGTTTAAATTACACATCATGGCTTTTTTAATAGGTTGCTCATGGTTAGACCCTTTCATCTTAAGATAATGCAATTATAACACTACTTATTACATCAGCCAATAGTTGTGTAAAAATGTAATCAAACTGTCAAGGTGCCAAAGCCCCTGTAGAAGCCTTATTATTTTTAAAATAATAGAAAGTATTGGGAGAAGGGTAAAAGTTGTAATTAAATTCTATAACTAGTGAGAGCCCTTAATTATGTGTAACAGTGTAAAATCTTTATGTTTCTTTCCTCTTTGTGCTGTATATGATTATTTGCTTGACAGTACAAAGGAGGTGATGGTGATAGTGGTAATGTCACTGGACTAAAAATCTGGAACTCCGGACTAATGCTCTGAGGATGTCGCCTTGAATCCTACCATGGGATTGGCGAAACTTGAATTCGATAAAAATCTGAAATTAAAAAAGGTTGGCCTAATGACGAACAAGTAACCATTACCATTTTAAATCAATTTAGTTCACTAATGTCATTTAGGGATGGAAATATGGCAACCTTACCCAATCTGGTTTACATGTGTTTTAACTAACTTCAGAAATGGCCCAGCAAACCATTCAGTACAAGGGCGATGAGAGATAGACAGTAAATGCTGGTCTTATCATTTCTCGAACCATTTCTTGAACGATTTATCATTAACTGAGAGGAAGTAAGTTTAATTAGTTTAATTAGTTACAGAAACAATCAATGTTGATCCTGATTGTGATTTTAGTCACAGTTCAATAAGCAACAGAAACAACACGGTTTATACAAATAGATGTCTTTAAAAGGACCCCATTTTACAAAACATTTGAAGAACAATTTTCTGCATCCGGAAGCAATACAACATTGCTAAACAAGATGAATAAAACCCATTGTGATGTAAGACCTTGATACATGTTAGTTAATTGCAAAAAATGGAATCCCCATTTTTTCTGGCATTTCTCCTTTCTCAAGACAGGGTTGAATCTTAAAATAGCAACTGAGCCGAGATCTTTGGATAGGAGTGCATTGTGATGGAAGTAAAAGATAAATATCTAACATTTTAGCTTCAAGTTCTCAGTGTATTAAATAAAATCACAGGGCACAGAAGTTACTGGTCCATGAATTTAGAATCTCTGAATGCGACGAGTATTTTCATAGCAATGATTTTAAGAGCACCGACTCTGGGCTCTGTGCAACAACAGCGTGAGAAACAATGATTCTGTCTGCCCTGAAATTTATTTTAAATCAAAATCCTGATGAATATTAAAACCCTAGTAAATGGTGGACTGTGAATTTGCAACCTACGTGGTAGAGATTGTTTAGAAACATTGACAAAAGGTTTCAATGAGGTGATTTCTGTGTGCTAAAATCATTAATTTCAAAGTGATGTTACATGCAACGTTCCAAATAGCTGCAATAATCATTGAAATCCTATCCACCTGAATCAGTGCAATGGGACATCATGGGATGGATTTAGCCAGACCCACCCTGTTGTTCCCCCTGTCAAACACTGCATAGTAATAGCCTATGAAGACGTCTCCCAGGATCCACAGTGGCCCAGCAGGTGGAGGTATGTCCATGCCTTGGAATCCACTGCTGCAATCAATTTGTCCCCATTCATCCTCCTCCTGCAAGGGGAATAGATTTGATTAATTACAATACTAACTGCATTACAAATAAGGAGGGAACTCATAACAGAATGCTTCCAGGACCTTCGGAGGACTTTGCAACAAATGAAGTTTTATCCTATTGAAGTGTTATAAAAAAAACACATGACAGTTAATCTGCATACAGAAAGATCATCCAAATGGCATTGAGCTAACGATTGGGTCATTGGTGTTCAGTGATGATAATAGATATTGGTCAGGATTTCAGGAGAATTTGCTTGCTTTTCTTCAAGGTGGTGATTGTAATGTTTTACAAGAGGGCATACAAGACCTTAGTTAAATACCTCACTCAAATGCAGCACCTCCCAAAGTTCAGCACTCCCTCAGTACCACCCTGGACTATCAGCTTGTGTTATGTCTTAGACAAACTTACAAAATTGTTGACCCGAGTCACAATTTCTGACTTGACATGGACAAAGTTGTTGTGCTGACATGCCCCCATTCAAAACAATTGTGTTATTGTTAAACTGAAAACAAAATATGCTGGAAGTCACAATGACTCAGGCAGTGTCCATGGAGAGAGAGCAAAGCTAACATTTCACGTCTGGCATTTTTTGCTTTTGGTACAGATTCCAGCATCAGGAGTAATTTGCTCCTACATTGTGTTTTTTTTAAGCCCCTATACAATACAGTTGATGGACATTTAAACATGAATCAAGATGTATGTTGGGCACATTTCATTTTCCCATGTTCCTGATCCTACCCATTAACATCACTGATTGGCTGTTTTGAGACTGGCCTGCAAAACTCACAGCAATGATTGTCAGAGCAGAATATCAACCAGGGATGGTTTAAGTGCCAAATTTCCCTTTCCTCTCTTTCTCACCAACCTCAAGTGAGGAGTGATCTTTCTGTTGGTGTCAATAGAAACCAATGCAGCCCCCTCCAGAGATGGGAGTTGTGACTCCAACTCACCAGTTAAATAAAATAATTCAGTCCAGTTCCAGTCCACCTGCATTATCCAGGCTAAAACCTGACAGAAAAAGCTTTCTATGGCTGCCCCTACTCCCTTCATGGCTGTTGTCCATGACTCTGTGTCTGAACAGAGAAGAGGAACAGTGGAAATGGGATGGGAGCGAGGATTAGGAGAGAGGGAATAGGGAGAGAAATAGGAAAGAGAGATGTGGAAGCAGATGGGAAAGAGAAGAACAGGGGTGAAAGACAGGAATAGTAGGAACTGCAGATGCTGGAGAATCTGAGATAACACGGTGTATAGCTGGATGAACACAGCAGGCCAAGCAGCATCAGAGGACAAGGAAGGCTGACGTTTCAGGCCTAGACCCTTCTGCAGAAATGGGGGATGGGAAGGGGGTTCTGAAATAAATAGGGAGAGAGGGGCAGGAGGATAGAAGATGGAAAGAGGAGAAGATAGGTGGAGAGGAGACAGACATGTCAAAGAGGCGGGGATGGAGCCAGTAAAGGTTAGTGTAGATGGGGAGGTAGGGAGGAGATAGGTCAGTCCAGGGAGGACGGACAGGTCAAGGGGGCAGGATGAGGTTAGTAGGTAGGAGATGCGGGTGGGGCTTGAGGTGGGAGGAGGGGATAGGCGGGAGGAAGGACAGGTTAGGGAGGCGGGGACGAGCTGGGCTGGTTTTGGGATGCAGTAGGGGGAGGGGAGATTTTGAAGCTTGTGAAGTCCACATTGATACCATTGGGCTGCAGGGTTCCCAAGCGGAATATGAGTTGCTGTTCCTGCAACCTTCGGGTGACATCGTTGTGGCACTTCAGGAGGCCCAGGATGGACATGTCGTCTGAGGAATGGGAGGGGGAGTTGAAACGGTTCGTGTCTAGGAGGTGCAGTTGTTTAGTGCGAACCGAGCGTAGGTGTTCTGCAAAGTGGTCCCCAAGCCTCCGCTTGGTTTCCCCGTTATAAAGGAGGCCACAACGGGAACAGCGGATGCAGTATACCACATTAGCAGATGTGCAGGTGAATATCTGTTTGATGTGGAAAGTCTTCTTGGGGCCTGGGATGGGGGTGACGGGGGAGGTGTAGGGGCAGGTGTAGCACTTCCTGCGGTTGCAGGGAAAAGTGCCGGGGGTGGTGGGGCTGGAGGGGAGTGTGGAGTGGACAAGGGAGTCACGGAGAGAGT